AAATAGTCAGACTTTAATGAGAATAATCCACTTATTTATTCAACTGAATAAACAATATTAATTAGTAATGAGGATAAGGTGGTAAAAACAGATAATTTGATAGATAACCTTATTTTTTGAATTCGGTTAAAAAACCGACTTTGGTCAAAGCCGGATGCATGAAACGTAACTGTCATTGAAAATAGATTACTCTAAGGCCAAAGAACTGATATAAATTGTCTAAAGTCTTGCCTTTAATATTACCAACTACTTCATGTTTACTTTTATATTTCATTATAATTACTCCTTTATTTTGTCTAAAACTTTATTAATTTATTTATTAGAGCTATGCACTTATCGATGCATCTCATTGACACTTGTTATAATTTATATCAACTTTCGAAAGATGTGCTGGATTTCAAACTTATTTTTCTTTAAAGAAGTTTTTTTAAAGACATTTTATTTTCGTATTGAATGCCAATGACAGTCATTGTGCAGTATATCAAACGATTTAGAAATTTGTAAAGAATATCGGTCTAATAGAAAACAAAAAATCATATTGCGTTTATTGTAACTAAAAATAATTCGGATACATAAACACCAATAAATACGTTTCCGTACGCTCAATAACGTAATGTGTAAAAAGTAACAAACTGTCAAAATCATTATATTTTTAGTTTGATTTCTATATAAGTATATATATATATATATATATATATATATATATATATATATATATATATATATATATAGATAGATAATTTATTTGCATGACTTACAGCACACAAACAGCAAAAGATACAAAAGCAAAGTAAAAAAAGATAAAAAAACGATACATGTACAAAAGATTTAAAAAAAAACCAAAAACAAAATCAGAATGCATAATAAAAATTTTTTTCTTCATGCGTGTGCCACAGTAATGCAAATATATATATATATATATATATATATATATATATATATATATATATATATATATATATATATATTATATATATATATATATATATTATACAACTTAGAATGGCAAACAAGCTGCCATATCCCACCCTTCAAACCGAAACACCGCCATGCAAACACAACTGCTTCACGGTTGAAACACGAATGGGACAGAGGTACCTAAGCAATCGACTTTTGTACAGTCTCTCTCTGGTAAAATTATTTATTTATTTTATTTATTCGTATTAACTTCAATATACAATTATATAAGTAAATTTACATATGGCGGATTTAACACCTAATGGTGTTCTCTACTAGTCAACCATGAGGCAAGCATAAAATTAAATAGACGGTACAGTACTACTAAAATATGTATAAATATTTTTACTAACTTTAATACATGAAATTCTAAACCAAAAGATTTCAAATAAGTAAATCACGATATATTTGATCGATTATACTTGAAAACCAAGTAAAATTAAAAGTTTAAAGTGTATAGTATAGTAGATATAATAAATATCAATCAATCAATCGAGCTCAAGCTCCATACAATTCAGATTTTTCTTTAATGAATTATTGGGATGCTTTTTTTACTTCTTAAGTATGGGCAAATATTTAAAGAGAGTAAAAATAATTTGATATTCAATTCTTCTTTTTTTTTTTACATAATATAAAAGGAAGAAACATATACCCGCACATTATCAATAATAGCATTAAGACGATTTGACAATTTTCACCGCTTATTATTTGTTCGTTTATTTGGTAAAAGGAACTTTTCAAATTCCGCCTTTTAGCTGTAATTATTAATATACATTCAACTGTATTTTGTTTAGTCGCACAATTATCACTTCTATCTTTAAAAATATCAATAGATTCAGATAAGGTACTACTTATATATATTGTAAGGTCATTGTATATTATAATTTAATACTATAATGTAAAATCTTTATTTAATCATGTTATGATTTCATCATTATATCAGCTATTATCTGACCACTGATGAACATAAGTTTATGTTATGATTTACTCGGAAAAATTAATTTGTATATATATATATATATATATATATATATAAATCCACAGAAATGGATACGGTAACCACTTCACTTACCATCAGGAGGGCTGTATGCTTGATTGCCACCTCAGTGGTATAAAAAAAAAAACAATTTTTATATTTCTACATTTCTTTTAGACACAATGTTTTATTAACAATTATTATAAAATTATGAGTTTCTGTATATTTATTATATATTGTTACTTGCATTAATATCTTAATCTAAAAATCAGGTTCCATGTTTTGCCTTTGCTGCCATTCTCTACATCCATAATCCTTAAGGTCACAAAACGGCGCTGTGCTACTAACTCTCGAGAAAAGCGAGGTTATTTCACACTAAAGTTTATTATTTCAGACGAATTACTTCAGTCAATGACTTATACAGCTATTTATAAGGAAAAAAATAAAGAAAACCACATCGCTAATTACAATCACTGAGGACCGAAGAGTCACAAGACGAGTCAGATGAACACGTGATTTGGTCACTTGAAATACGACGGACCAAATCTTGGCACGTATCCATTAACTGTAATACCGTTTTAAAACAAGTTTGATCGACAAATCCTGTGGTTATAGTCAATTAATAACATTACTTATCTCTATAATTTATATTGTGTAAAATTTCATGAACTTAGGGCGGAAGGCATAAAGTTACTAGATACATTACGAAGACTCCTTAACACATTACTTTAAAAGTTGTTTGCATAAAAAATTCGCAGTTTAATATCTAAAACTGAAAACAAAGTAATAAAAATAAAAAAAAAAAATACCAATTCATAAACTGTTGTGTAGTCCCGGCATATAATGGGCCATCCCTTCCTTTATCCTGGATATCGTAAGAGGCGACTAAGGGAAATTAATGGTCCAGGGATGGGCAGTAGCGTCCCTCTTAAAACCTCACCAAAGGCTAACTGCGGTTGCCAATCCGCTTACCAAGCGTGGCAACTACTGACAAAACCCCCTTTATAGGAAAGGCCTATGTTCAGCAGTGGACATTTAACGGTTGATATATTAATAATAATTTATAAATTTGTGTAATATTCAACGACTACACTATTTACCTTACAATAAATCTTATTACTTTGCTTTGTAATTACATATATTAAGCCCTATAATATAACTGTATAAGTATTAAATTCACTAAATCGTAAAACTTACAAGTCATTTAACTTACTACCCAATATTATGAAATACTAATAAGAGTTATTTTAACTATTTACTCAAAATACCGTAATATCCGCGTATTACACACTATTTACATTAAAATAAATTTTATTTTTTCGTTTACCGTTATATATAAAGCCCTATTATGCTATAGAATAAAGCATTAAATCCCTTAAATTGTATATCTAGTACACATTATCGTGATAAGATTGGAACTAAATTCAACAGACAGTGTTAAATTTTATTTTTATTCAGCACGAGTACATAGATATATTATTTACAGATACTGATTCATTACAGGTAAGTCTAACTATAGATGCGATATAATGTTCTAATGGAATAATTTGTAAATTTTCCAAAACAGAAAATTCCCAATTCGTGTGTATCTGTGTATTTTTTGCGACATGTTACACGATTACGTCGCCAATTCTGAACTGATTTTTATGATTCTTATTTTTTAGTGGATGGAGGGTTGTAAAACTTTATGTATGTAAACACATTGTCGTCATAGAATTGGAAGGAAATTAAAAAAATAATGTAAAATTTTATTTTTATTAAGTATGTACACACATATTTATAGATGTAGATTTATTATAGTAATGTTTGACTACAGATGATGAGAAATTGCAAAGATGCAATTTATTAAATAAATTGTTTCTTTGTAATTTTCTCAAAAAAATGGAAGTTCCCAATTCGTGGGATTTTTATTGCGACGTGTATCTCAATTACGTCGCCAATCCTGAACTGACTTTCATATTTTTTTGTAGTCATTAAAGGGTTTACTTCCGTTTTGTTTCCATATTATCTGATGACGACTGAAGCTTCTGTATTTATATTATATTGTAAAAACTTTATTTACTTACTTTTTTATTCAAGAAAAACTAACAGCTAAAAAACTTCATAATAAAAAAAAAGTAAAGACAAAAAGTCAATTACATGTTTTCACAAATAAAAACAAGAGTTAACTAAATGCACATGACATTGTTAAACTTTATTGTATACACTTTACATTGGACACATTAAAAAGATTCAACATACAATAGCAGACTTATCCCACAGAGGGATCTTTTACAGTTTTCCTTTGTAAAGTAAAAATTGCTTGTAGCGAAGCAAGACAAACTTATAGACACATGATTCCCTGTTCTAAATTCAAATATTTCCTATGTAAAGTATCTACGAAACATCGTTTATCGATATATGTGCTTGTAACTGAAGTAGCCAAATGTACTTCTTTATAAAGTAAAAATAAAACCGATTTATCCATTCATATTTCCATATTATAAAACTACTTCTTTTATGATGACCTCCGGGCACGTTGCTTTACGTATATGAGATCTCGGATTTAATTCCCGGTCAGGTAATTCAAGAAAAGGAGATTTTGTGAATTACTTCGGGTCTGGGTGTTCTGCGTGGCGAGTAGTGAGCGATCGAGATAGAACGACAGCGCAAATGAATGTAAGAAGAAACCGTGGCTGTCACGTCTGTGCCGTGAGTCAGAAAGAAAGAGGTGAAATATCTATGCACAATTCAATTAACCGACTTAATGGAAAAAGAAATGATGATGTTGACAAGTAGTTATGAGATGAATCTATACAATATTTACTTACAGACGCCCCAATTTATTCCTGAATTGGTCTCGTTTAATTTGTCATAATTGAAAAAACTATTGTTTTAATATGAGAAGGAAATTTTAAATTACTGGGTTAAATAAATAAAATAGTAAACATAAATTAAAAATTCCACTAGGGAATCTTGATGTAGAAAATTTACTTCAATTTCTATAAAGTAACTATAACTTCTTCGTTCTGTACTGTAAGCAATGCAAATAAATTATCTATCTATGTGATGCTATACATACAGATGGGCAAAGCACCGGGTTTAAACCCGGTGCTTTGGTAAAAACCCAATAAACACCCATAAACTCCCATAATCACCCAAAAAAATAGGTTTTTACGTATTTTTTTGAAAATATGTAAGTAATACCAATAAATTATTTTTATAAATTGTATTGATCAATTCTACAATATTAAATAAAACGTTAACTAATAATATTTCAGGAAATTTTAAAAATCTATATATAATAAAATGAAAGTAATTAATTTTCAGTGTTTTCATGTTGCAGTTGATCAACATGTTGGCCTTTTGCTTCCCGTAGATACTTTAAAATTTCTTCATAACACCTCGTTCGCACACATGGCCGTATATATTTAAATTCTTGAGCCACTAACAGTCCGAAATACTCATTTCTTTTATCCTCTTCTCCATAAATTAAGCATTTAGAACAGTTTGTTTCTTCTTTCAGTAAATTTTCTTTTACTTTAGCCTCGTTTTTTTCTTTGTTGCGACGACGCTGGGTAAATCATCTGGACACTGGGTCTCACTATCGCCAAATATATTTGGAGATCGGCTTCGGCTACGGCTTGGCAGACATTTTTTTCTTTCTACAATTTTAAATTAAATTTATTAGAATAAATGCTTCGAACACACGCGATCTAAGTACCTTTTGTGTTTATTATACCTTACCTACCTAGGTATAAAAAGAGTACTTACGTAGATTTTCTTTTATTAACTGTTTTATACGAAGATCTTGATCTCTCAAATTAGCATCCATTTTACTTCCAGTGATTATCAACTAAATTAATAATCCACAAAGTATTAAATAACGTTTTTATGAAATATTTAGCACAAAAACAATACCCTTTAAATATCGATCGTCAGTAACTGTGGCTGACTTACCTATATTCTAGAAAGCAGGACTGCCAGATGTGAAGGGGAAATCCCCAATAAATTGTTGCATGTGACTGATGATGTGAGCATGTTCGTTTCATAATAAAAATGTTGCCAGGTAACCAAAAAGTCGTATGTTTTTGTGCGAATTACGATCATAATCTTTACGATCGTACATTAAAAAATAGACAAATAATAGTATGAGTACGATTTAAATCGTATATCTGTCAACCCTGCTAGCAAGACAGCGACAAAATCACGTTGCATAACAATGTAGCCCAAGCTTATATCTTATGAAATATACGGAAGAGATACGGACTTAGAAAAAACAGAAATGTTGTTCTTTGTGGAAGTCATTGATGAAATTCTATGTATTTTAGCCCGCAAACTTTCTTCAAACAAAAACAGCGCCATCTAGTATCGAGTTCTGTAATTATCTCTTTGTTTATGGATTTGAAGTAAGACCGCCACGCATGCAATACATTATGACTGGGGATTCCCCTATTCGTCGACGCTGAATATGAGGCGACGACAATCACTGTCAAACGTGTTCACTATTACTCTGACTCTGGTAACGTGACTTCCTGGTAACGTGTTAGGTAGGAAAAGCAGTAAAAAAGTGCATATTAAGGGAGCAGATTTGAAATAATATTTATACTTAACAAGAAATAATTAAAGGTAAGTGGATTTTTGAATGATACAATTATATCATGATCACTTAACAATTTTAACTTAAAATTAGATGTATTATTACAAGCTTTTATTTAGCTTGCGTTATGTAAATAAAAGTATGTAGGTATGTTCGTATGTTGATGCAATTATCCTCAATCCTCAACCGACTGGGATAAAATTTTCCATACACGTTTATTTTGGATGATAGTGCATAGTTAGCTGAGAGTCGTCATTGGATAATAATGGTGGATAGCCTAAGATGTGTACTAGATATTTATTTTTAACATAATATGCGTAAGTACCTAATCGAATTAAAGAAGTTGCTGAGAAAAATACAGAACAATACGATAATAAACTAGCGTCTGCGTTTAATCCTCCGAGGAGATGTAATTTTACAAAGGTTTTTTGTATTTATTTTATTATTTTTTTAATAAATTTATTGTAAATAACAAGAAATAATCATTGTAAAAAAATAGGCACTCTATTGTTGAATTTTCGTCAGACCAACTAATCATCGTTCATTTTTTTAGGTTCAATGGGGAGACCTAAAGATTTACGCATATGGGAGCACTACCGTACTTTACCAAACAAGTCTGTTTCTTGCAAGCTTTGTAATAAGGTCTACAAATTCAGTAATGCTGCCAAAATGCTTCAACATCTTATCACTTGTCCAAAATCTCCAGAAACATTAAAAGACTCTATGAAACTTATAAAAGATAGCTCGTCCAAAACCAAAATGTCTGGACTGTCAGAGATAGAGACAAATGATTCTTTTATAAGCCCCTCGTCGTCTGCTAACACTACAATAAATGCTGAGTTTCAAGACACCGATGATCATATAAAAACAGAATTAGCGAGAGCTATATTTGTAACAGGGACGCCATTATCGATGGTGCAACATCCTTTATGGATACAATTTTTCGAAAAATTGCAACCAAAATTTAAAATACCTTCACGTAAAGCTTTAGCGACAAAATACTTAGATAAAATATATAGAGAAATGCGTTTTGAGTTAAATGAGGAACTAAATGCTTGTAGTTACTTACACCTTCAGTGCGATGGCTGGTCTAATTTAAGAAATGAAGGAATAATAAACTTTCTTATATCAAAACCTCAACCTGCATACGTTAAAAGTTTGAATACAGAAAGTAATCCTCACACTAGTGAATACCTTAGCCAAGAAGTTGAAAAAGTAATGAAAGTGTATGGAGCAAATAAGTTTCTTGTACTTATTGGCGATAACGCTAGAAATATACAAAAGGCATTCGAATTAACAAAACTCAAATATCCACATGTTGTTCCTCTCGGTTGCTGTGCACATATCCTTAACTTGTTGTGCCAAGATATTGTAAAGATACAAGAAGTAACTGTGTTTATTATGCAAGCCATAAATATAATAAAAACTGTTAAAAGGAGTCAACGATTAAGTTCCTTGTTGATAAAATCAAGGCAGGGTGAAGATTCTACACAAACACTAAAATTGCCTTGTGCTACAAGATGGGGAAGTCATGTTACTTCGTTAAAAAGTTTGAAAGCAAATAAGATAGCTTTGCAAATATTAACAGTTAGAGAAGATGTGGTAATTTCAAGAGATATTAAAGATTTAATTCTAAGTGATGATTTCTGGACGAAGACAGGGGAATGTATAAGTATTTTGGAACCAGTCACTGAAAGCATATTTTACTTAGAGAGCGACCAGAATCGTTTGCATCGCACATACATTACATTTAGAGATGTACAAGCTAAGATACGTTTTGCATTAAATGAGATTTCGACATTGAGCGAAGAAAGCAAACAGCAGATTCTAACATCAGTATCTTCAAGATGCAATATGGCAATGAGGCCAATACATTTTGCAGCATATATTCTAGACCCCAGGACTCTAGGAGTCGAACTTACTCAAGAGGAAGAACTTAAGGGTATGGAGTTTATCTACAATTTAAGCCAACACTTAAGTTTGTCAAATGTAATGGCAGATTTGGCGTGTTATAAAGCTAAAGAAAACTTTTGGGCCAGAGGATTTGTATGGAGCTCATTAGATAGCATTGAGCCCCTAATATGGTGGAAAGGTATTTGTGGTTCCACTGAGTTAAGCAAAGTAGCGATTCGTATTCTATCAGCTCCCTGTACTTCGGCAGCCACTGAGCGTTCCTTTAGTATCCAAGGCTACATACATAATAACAAAAGAAATCGACTTACAACTGAAAGAACTGAAAAAATTTCATTCATTTGTTATAACTGGAATCTTAAACATAAAGCTGAATGCGAGGACATTCAGTTTAATGAAGAAAATACCTTAGAAGCTTTCATTGAGCAAGTAAATGAACATAACAGTTTAGACGAAATAGAGCCTATCGAACCTATACAATTCATCGCTTGTAATAACTCTGAATCTGACAGTGATTGACTGTAGTTTTACATTTTACTTTCATCTCTTTCTTAATAAACTCAAAATCAAATTAAAAGTTTTTTATTCTGTAGGCTGCATAATAATATTGTCTATGTCCAGTATAGTGGACGTCTTGCGGCTGAGATGACGATGATGAAGTACAAAATCATAAACACCCAAAAATTTGGGTGTTTATGGGGTTTAAACCCAATAAACCCAAAACACCCGGTTTTTACCCACCAGACTTTAAACCCACCCAGGTGGATTGCCCATCTCTAGCTATACATAATTAACAAGACTTAAAGGATTCTCATGGATTCCATTATGACGGATCTGAATTTAGACAGTGATATTAAATATATCAATAATATTTAATTCAGGTATACTAAATATACCTATATATACGTATTATTTAAATATGTATATTACGCCGAATGACATAATGTGCTCAGCGAAAAAGCAGTGGATAAGGTTAACGCAAAACCGCACCAAGTAGAAGACCAAACAGAAAAAAATTCCTAACAAATAGGTAGAAGTTATAATAGATATAAATACACATAGATATTTTAAATTTCATAATAATATTGAAAACCACAAATACAAGTTGGAACAAAAAGTAGACAAACTGATAACTACTAGTGAGAAGTCCGTTAAATACAAAGTAACAAATAGCAAAATAGCATATGTACCATGTATGATGTTTGTATGTACGTGTTTATGTAGAGACTGATAATCAGACTTGAACTTTAACATTTGTAGATAGAGACTTTTAATTTAATAAAAAAATACTTTTGAATGTATCGGGTCATAAATATTGTAATGGCTACAGAGACAGTTTACTTTAGTGTATGTACGTACATGCTAATCAAAAGTACTAAAAGAAAATAAGTAGTGAGCAAAGCAGTAAAACACCGCCATTTTGTCGTTCTTGTTCGGGAGAAAATAAAAAATAATTACTTCCTCAGACGTAAATGGCTTTGTTGTTGGTAGTTATACGTGTTTCCGTAAATACTTCGATTATTAGTCAAGTTAAACATAAATATAGAGGTAATCATGTTTATAAACTGCGTGAACTCACATGAAGTCTTCCAAATCGACTATTCTGGTGTACTGACACGGTTGGCCGTCAACATTGTAGCACATGGTGTTGTAATTCCATTGCGGGACCTGATTACAGGGCAGGTTAGGAATTATAGGCTGCGGTTGAATATATCTAACAGGTTGGCTGTACTCCTGGTGGAAGTATTGAGCCTCAGTCGCATGGGGCACATAATAGTTGCTATAGCACTCCACTGATGGTGAGTCAAAATTTGAATAAACACTACTGCACACATCATTCGGCTGTCGCGCCCACTGACCCGACATCGGACACTGCATATTCCATCCAGTTTCCTCGAAGCAACCCACAACCGGGCACTGCGAGCGCGCGGGCTCACCATTCACGAGCATGTTGGCGCTGGCAGAATCCAGGAAACAACGAAGCAGTCCATCAGGGTACGTAATCAGCGAGCGACTGATAGCAGCAGATGTTCTTATCTCCTAACAGTGGCGTAGTGGCAAAAATTGATATAACAACGAATTATTAGATAACATAATGCAAACATTGTCAATAAAATATATATCGACTGTGGCGTTTCTAGTGTAACATTTCATATTGGTTATCATTGGCACTTAACGATTTGATGTTTTCGAGAGATTAGCCGTCGAAGTTGTCAAAATTCTTGTTCGTAGTTCTGTATTGAAAAAGATAATAATTGAACCCATGTTAGCAATCTATTTATAATAAAAAAAAAATAGAAAAAAAAAACAGTCGCCAGGCAAACAAAATTTGTGTTTGTTTCCTTTTAGATTAGAGACTGGTATGAAAGATCCAGACAGAACCTTTAGTAACTGTAACAATATCATTGTAGGTACCCTAAAGAAAATACGTAAACGAAAAAGTACAAAGATTGGGTAGATATAGATTTGAATATTGAAATAAAAAAATATATTAGGAAGCTATAGGATGACTTATAGTTGAGAAGTGAAGGCAGCATCATAGGAATCTTAACAAGACAAGGTCTGTCAAAAGTTCATTATGTATATAATAAGACTTACAACGATTATCTAGATCGGGTTAATGGAACTCTTTCAAATATGCCTCATTTGCGAGTACGCGAATAAGTATCAATGGGGCTTATCTATAAGAGTAATAAGTATATATTATGCTAAAAATATTGCTTCCGTTAGTAACTTATTAGTTATGTCTGGTAGGTGAAAATAGCAGCATCTCAGTCGGTAAATCGTTTAATTATTATATATTTTTATAATTATTATATTTAATTATAATATATTGCTTGTTTAAATTTTCTCTCAGTGATTCACGATTTCCCATACAACAAATTGCGCAATTTGCACGTTTTTATAATACAACGCAAAGAAGGTTGCCCATACCAGAGGCTGCCACTGTAACATTAACAGTAATATTAAACGTATGTAAGATCGAAACTGTCACTATGATGTCATCAACATGCCATTATCCCTTCTTTTCCTTATGTGTGTTCTTTCATCCCACGAACATTCAGGTTGTGGAATGAGCTCCCTGCCGAGGTTTTCCCAAGAGACTACAGCATGGGGTTCTTCAAAAGGGGGGTAAAAGAGGTTTCTTCAGAGTCGGCAACGCACCGTATGCTTGCTTGCCACCTCAGTGGTATAAAAAAAAATTTCAGTCGTTTCCAAGTTCACTTAAATGTCATCTTCACATAGAACTCTTCTAGTTACAATCGTATTAATTCTAATTTTACTAATATATATAATAACATGTCTGTTGTTTGTACATAACAGATATTTAATAAAAAAAAAATCAATATGATTTTAATAAAACCAATAGATGCCAATTTTAAGAAATTTTGTCTGTATCTATGCATACATTTTTGTAGCGGCATCGCGAAGCGAAGCGAATATAATTACGACACAAAATGAAGTTTTCACAGTTCTGTTCCTGAAGATCTAACTTAAAATTTGGAAATGGTTTATTTTGATATACCATCTGGTAGTAATCTATTTAATTAGTTTTCCTACTTCTGAAATCAATGCGTACGAACTAGTGTAAAAAAGCCAGTTAGTAAAATAAACTGATATAATTTAGATAAATAACCAGTTTATCATAATTTACAGAAAATGTCCGATTTCTTAATTTCTCGTAAACGGACCATTACGCAAAATGGCCACTACGTTCTGTGGCCTTATATGGGAACTTGTTAGCATCAAGTACGAATACATAAATAAAACACCTAATGCAATGGAAACAACCAATAGTACCTATATAGATGCTGCTTATTGATTGGTAGACAAACAGTTCAGGGTTTAATGCCCTCAGGTATTATTTGAATTTATAAAAAGTCTGCGAAGCGTTAAATTATAGAACACAGAAGAACAAATATTACTATATTGCAAATGTATAGCATATTAACACTACCACACTTGTGTGATAATATGTTGTAATTGTAAAGAAATACATAAAACTGTACTTCGATAAAATGACTTCTATCTTCACTGCGTTCATTTGTCATTTTTTATTAAGTACTCTCGTCTTATATAATTAAATATTTTAAAATATGCAAAAATACATATTTACACACACCATGAGCCGTTTGTTTATTTGCAATTCAAAAGATATTTGTCAAATAAAAAAAACTGCAGTTGTGGCAAAACCAGTTATTTTGGTTTCAAAACTAACCTACTGAACCGATTTTGACAAAAATTTCTATGGGACTAAACTTTAAGTATATCCTTTCAGATAAAAAAAAAGAATTTCCCAAATTGATTAAGAACTGAAGGAATTATGAAGTAATAAAAAAAAAAAATTACAACCGAATTGAGAATCTGGTGGTGACTTATTTTAGATATGGTTTAGTAGATGGTTACTTTATTGCTTCAATGAAAACTTGTTCTGCATCATGTCACATATCGAACTAGAATTCTATGAGTGCACTTAACGTAAACTTAACACGCTTTATTACATGCCATTAGACAATCGCTCCATCTTATCAAATATCATGTATTTTAGGAAATAAAATATTGTTGCTATGCAGTCACCGATAGGATAAAATGGTTAAAAAATACTTAAAAAAACAACATATAACAAAACATAGAAAAATCTATTTTAAGTCGATCACAGTGCTCCGTTATGTATTTCATAATTATTTTCTTTTCCTATTTTGGGTTAGTACTAGTTAATGAGTACTTTGTTACAAACTTTTTATAATATAAAGGATATAATGGGCGACACAGTATACTCTGTTACATCTATGGTACTGTTCATGTCAGAACACAAGGGGTATCACAGTATATTCTGTGATATCCGTGGAGCTGTTTAGGTCTGTAGGCGATGGCTACCATTTTCAATCAGGAAGGCCGTAAATATTTACAGAACTTTAAACTGCGGATTTTGTGATAAACTTTAAAGGGCCGAGTAAAAAACATCACTCTAAAAATAAACGGTTTCTTTTATTATATTGCGATGAAAATAATATTATATTACTTAAAAACGAATTTAAAAATAGACAAACTGTTTTCAAGCTATTCAATAGAATTTACTAATAGCTATGGCAGCGACTTTGTTTGCGTGACCGGAATAAAAAGTAGTCTACGTCCTTCTCCATCCCGAATACAATGTACGTGTATACCAAATTTCTTAACCATTAGTTAAGCTGTTAATACGTCATGAGGTAATAAAAAAATCCAACTTTATATTATACTCAATTTCGTGTATAATAATAGTATATGTCATATATGTGTAAATATATTTGTTATTTATATATATTTTTTCGTTTATATATGTAATTTTAGTACGTATGTATATCAATAATTACTAGTACCGCATTCGAGTATTCTGACACTTCCCTATGCTTGACTGGGAGAGAATGCTTCTAAAAGCATTCTCTCCCAGTCAAGCATTAAAATCGCCATGTACACATATTTGTACTAATGAAGAAATATTTTTTTTTATAATATTAAGTGACTACAGCATGGAGTTCTTCAAAAGGGTAAAGAGGTTTCTTCAGGGTTGGCAACGCGCGTGTAATACCCCTTGTTTGCCACCTATGGTATAAAAAAAATAAGGATAAGGATTAATAAGGGTGGTGATAAAATGTAATAAACATTAAATTTGAATTATAAATATTATTATTATATGATAAATATATATATTTGCATAAAAACACCAATGATAACAATTTGTAATTATTGATTTATATAAAGGTAACAAACAAATAAAGAAATCACTATTACATTTATAAAATTGTAAAGTATCGATAAGGATTAGTAAGGATAGAAAAGACAATGACAATATCGTTAATAATGCGGACTACCAGTCTCATTACTAGCAATATATCCTGCCTGATCGACCTCCATGTGGTCCCCCTGGAAACCATCGTGTTGAAATCCAGGTGTATTCATTACGGTGGGTTAACTGACCTGCCTTTTCATTCTCACCTATCATCCCTCACTGGTGGCGGAGGGAAAGGGATTGTTAGTAATGGGGTCTAATTTCCTCATAACTAGTAATACCATACTATCAAGTCGACCTCCACGCGGTTCCCCCTAGAAATTATCGTAATTGATTCTAGTGGAATAAATCACGATTGGCTAACGAACCTGCTTTCATCGCCACCTATTACTCCTTACTGGTGTCCCGCCAGCGTATACCGTTAGCGCAGGTGGGGTTTCATATCATCACCATTCTATTATCATCCATAAAAAAAATATGACGAGGATTGGCTTTGGCAATGGTAATAATTTGCATAAACTAATACTAATATGAATGAACAGTGACGCCACCGATATCAATTTTCAACTGTTTTATTTTCGATTATTTATATTCGAGTTGATAGATATCTTTCCTAGCTGTTGATAACAAATCGGCCATTAGCGCACCGCGCGCACATTATTAGGTTCAGTAGCAATATTTGGTTTTTTAAATTAGATGTGATGAAATGGAGATGCCCATTAATTATTATATTAGAATACATTAATTATTATATTAGAATACATTAATTATTATATTAGAATACATTAATTATTATATTAGAATACATTAATTATTATATTAGAATACATTAATTATTTATTAAAATCAGACATAATTTTGAATTAGGCAACAAAAATCTCAAGATGAAATTAAAATAAAAGAAATAATGAAAGAAACCATACCCACCGCTTATAAAAAAAATCATATTTAATGCGACAGTGTCACCAAAAAATAAAATTTAAAGTTAACATAAAAAAAATAATTCAAAACATTTTCCTAGACTCATTACTTAATCATCAAAGTTAATAATTATATTGACATAATTAAATATCCGGAGACAAACTTATGACCGTTTATTGACCCCTCTTATTAATAAAAAATGGAGTATAAAATGGCAACACTTCTTCATTCGCACTCAAAACATTCTTCAATTTCGCTTTGTTATTCTGTGTTGTTACGTCTATTGTTATTATTTGTCTATTGGTTTAGTTTGAAATGTAATCGAGCTAC